CGGAGGGAGGGCGGGGCGGTGTGTGAGATTTGTACTCACCAAAAACCACACGGTGTACCTACGAGCGCCTATGCCGGAGCCAGGGGATTCGCAAGTGCATTTCTACCCCAGCTCCGACGGCGACGGCCCGCCCTGTAGATGTTGTAGGGCAGGCCCCATCTCGTTTTGTTGTTAGGGCGACCTATTTCGCCCTACTCCATTCTGGAGGCGTGTGGGTACACGCGCACACCTCCGGGGCCTTTGGATTGGGGGGACTGCCTCCCTCAAGGCAGTCACCCCGGCCCCAGTGGGGGATAGATGGGGGCGGAGTTGGATACGCCCCCACCTCTAGGCCTGGCTCTTCTGCGGCGGAGGGAAGCGGGACGAGCTGACTCCCGCTCCCTTTCCGCCGCCTCCTTCCGCGAGATAACTTCCTCGCAGAAGGAGCTCACCGCCAGCCACGATCTCTCGCTACTGATCATCCTCCGAACTAAATTCGGCAGCGAGAGATCGTCCCCCACTATTCGTGTGAGGACACGGCGCTCACTCTCGAACGCTGGACATATTTCCAGCGTGTGTTGCGCCGTGTCCTCCACACCTCCGCACTCGTGGCAGCCGGTCGTCGGCTCCTTCCTCGCCACAAGACACAGATACCGCCCGAAGCAACCGTGCCCGGACAGTATCTGCGTCATGCGGTACGTCAGTGGCCATCGCCTACTCATCCACCTTTTGAGGATGGGACGGACAGCCTCGACAGTCCTCAGGCCGGCCGATGGACTGGCCAGCCTTTCTCTCCACCTGATCCTGAGGATCCGCCGAAAGTCGGACCTCCGCGCTCCAATCTCGTGGCCAGCGGGTGCCTCCCCCATGGAACGTCGCTCCGCGCGCCAGTGATACACTGACGCGCGGAGCTCCGCTACCAAGTCCCACGGAGGAGACCCCGCCAGCAGACCCGCCGCTTCCCCGGATATGGTGCGGTAGCCTCTTATGGCCCGTATGGCCATGACCCTGTGTGGCCTGTTGAGGCAGGCCACATTTTCCCTACCTAGGGCCCCCACCCAGATGGGGGCCCCGTACAGGGCCATGGACCGCACCACGCCGAGGTATAGGCGGCGGGAACCTTCTCCCGGGCCCCTCACGTTTGGCAGCAGCCAGCTAAGAGCGCCGGCGGCTGCCATAAGGCGAGGGACCAGGTTCCGGAAATGAGCGCGGAAGCTCCAACGACTGTCCAGGTCAAGCCCCAAGTATCGAATACAGGGCTTGACCCCCACCCTCTGGCCACTGACGACCAGCTGGGCATCCGGAGGTGGCGCACGCCGAGGCCCATGAAAACACAGGACCTCGGTCTTCTCCAGCGCCACCTGGAGCCCAAGCCTTCTTATACGACCGACGACCAGCGCCACGCATGCCGTGGCAAAGCGGGTAGCCTCCAGTAGGTCCCGCCCCCGGGCAGTGACCAAGGTGTCATCCGCGTAACACACGAGGTGCCCGTTAAAAGGGCGCCCCGCAGGTTCTGATCATACCCGATGTTCCACAGGATCGGGCCCAGAACCGACCCCTGTGGAACACCGCGTTGCATTTCCCTCGGCACTACAACGCCGTTCCGCCCCGTGCATAGCACAGACCTGTCTTCGAGATAGGCCCCGATCACGTCCCGAATGTAGGGAGGCGCGCGATGGTACTTCAGCGCCTCCCTAATAGTCGCAAAGGGCAGGGTGTTGAAGGCGTTCTTAATGTCTAGAGAGACCGCCAACAACACCCCACCCTGGGACGTCGCCTCTTCCGAGAGGGAGCGCACACGCTAGATCTCGTCTATCGTCTAGCGCCCCTCTCGGAACCCGAACTGCTTCGGGCTGAGATCGGGACCTACCTGAGACAGGTGTTGGACGAGTCGGCCCGCCAAGATTCGCTCGAAGAGCTTGCCGATCTCGTCCAACAGTACTATGGGGCGGAACGCCGAGGGAACCACCGAACCTGCGGGGTGCTCCGCTTTGCGGAGCAGGACCACTCTACCCGCTTTCCACTGATTGGGAAACCGTCCCGACTCCAGACACGCGTTGAACAAGTACCGGAGTCGGTCCCCTAGGGTGTTTAGGGCCAAGGCCAGGACGCGGCCGTGGATACCATCCGGACCCGGGGCGACATTCTTGCCCCGGAGTTTATCCACGGCCGCGGCGAACTCCTCCTCGGTAATGGCAGGAACCGCAGCAGCGCTGACGCCGCTGGCCTCTCCATCACTGCCACGCGGCATCATCGGAGGAGGTGTGAAGGGAGGCTGTCTCGGGAACAGCTCCTCCAACACCCCCTCCAGCTGCTGCGGCTGGAGACCCTCTGCCACGGGGGGCGCCCAGGGGCGTAATTTGCCCCTGACGAACCTATAAGGGCGCCCCCATGGATCCCTGTCCAGGGTCTCCAGGAGTTCTTCCCTGGCTGTCTCCTTGGCCCTGCTGATGGACAGCTGCAGAGCTTTCTTCCTCTCTTTTTATTGCTCGTACAGCTGTGCTTCCTCGTCGGCGTCGCGGCCCCGCCTGAGTCGGCGGTGCCTGGTGTACCGGCGGCGGGCGGCGGAGCACTCCTCCCTCAACGCCGCTATCTCCTCCGACCACCAGTACACCTGACGCCTAGGAGGTCGAGGGCCGGCTCGGGGCATCGCCGCGTCGCAAATATGCGATAGAGCCTCACCGAACCAGCCCACCTCTGCGTCGACCTCCACAGGCCCCTCCGGCAAGGGAACCCAGGCCTGCACGATGGAAGCCTCCATCAGCACGTCTTTATTCAGACGTTTCAACACCCATCTGGGGAGTTGTGGTACATTCCTCTCCTGGCGACCCGGGTGCGGAGCTACGGGTGAGGGGAGAACGTCTATCCGAATGTAACGATGATCGGATAGCGTCTCCACCTCATCCAACACCTGCCAGCTCCGCACCCTCTGTGCGATCGCTGGACTGCAGAGGGATACGTCGACATGCGACTCCCCCTGCTGTCTCACGCACGTGGCGGCCGACCCTCGGTTCAACACCACCATGCCGGCCGCGGCCGCCCAGTCTTCCAGGACCCTGCCTCGAGAGTCGGTGATGGGGGAGCCCCATGCCGTGGATTTGGCATTGAAGTCCCCCATCACCATCATTGGACGGGCCGAGTATAGCTCCAGAGCGGTCCCCAGCCCGTCCATGAACTGCTCGAACTCGACGACGAACAACGACGGTTTCCCCCCAACTCACTCCTATGTACCCCGCTCCGCCGAATAGGCGGCTGACGAGCGGGGTCGCGTGTTGCCCGCGCCGACAATGGCCACCAGGCCAGAGGGGTCGCCGAACCAAAGGTCGCTTCGTGGGACGCGATATGGTTCGGCGACCACTGCAAGGTCAACTCCCCACTGCACCGCGCTCTGCAGAAGCAGATCCTGGGCGCGCGCGCAGTGGTTCAGATTCCCCTGCAGGAGGCGATGGACTGCCATTATTAACCGGTGTCCATCACCTCAGCCTCTCCCCGGCGGCCATTGCCGCGGGCCGACGACAGTGCGGATCCCCTCGCTCTCTTGGACCGGGATTGGGGGCACTTTTTGGCCCCCACCCGGTGATCGGCTGGGCGACCCGCCGCTGCGCAAACCACGCAGTGTGGGGCCGCCGAACATCCGGCCGCTTTGTGGCCGGGAGCCCCACACCGGTAGCAAAGGCCACTCCGGTCCTCCTCGTGCGAGCACCACGCCACCACGTGCCCGCTCTCGAGGCACTTGTAACACCGGAGTGGCTTCTGCCGCAGCAGCTCCACAGCGGCTGAGACCCAGCCGATCCGGATTCGCCCTGCCGTCGTGACCTTCTTGACCGCGGCCAATGGGGCCCGCACCCAGCAGGTGCCCAGGCCCGACGCGCCGCGCCGAATCTCCCCGACGTTGACGGCGTCCGCCGTGCACTCGCCGTGCTGTGCCACGGCGGCCGCCACCTCCTCACGGTCGGTACCGTCATCCAGGCCCATGACCCTCATTTCGGCCGTCTTGGTGGGCCTGGCGATTCGGACTGTACCTTCCGGGAAGACGTCCCGGAACTTCGACGCGAGCGCGTCGGCCTGGTCTCCCGTTTGGGACCCCGGGATTTCCAAAATGCGGGCCCCAGTGGCCGCGGTTTTAAACCGCAGGCTCCCTATCCCCAAGGAGGCGAGGTCGATATTTTCCTTCGCCTCCTTGAGGACGGCGGAGTACGTCACCCCCGCCGCTTCTGCCTCCGGACACAGCGTGACCACCACTGCCGCCGATCGCGGCGCGCGCAGTTTCGATGGTGACGGCGGGGCTGGTTTACCTTTTCTTCCCCTGAGAGGGGGTCCCAGAGCTCCGCTGAGTACTTTGCGTACTCTGAGTCTGCCTCTCAGGGACGTTACGTGTTTTGCCGCCCCGCTTCACCACTGTGTTCCATCCATCTTGGCGCGCCACGCCCGACGGCCCCGGTTGTTGACTGCCGGAGGCAGGCCGGCTGGCGGGCGGACTCGCTCTCAGCGGTGGGAACTCCGCACCTCGCGCCCCCCGCAGATGGGGAGCGTCCCTGAATCCCGGTCCCCCTGCGCCGGGGATCCGAGACAGGACGTCATATCGCCCGTCGCTTTGCAGCGGCGGGCGGTGCTCAGGGCGGATTGAGGTCGCCGGGGAATTGAGGCCCAGGGCAGCCTTGATCTTCCTGATGCCCTGCTCGATACGTTCACCTATTCGGGCCTCTATCATGACCCCGGTCGCCCTCATTATGTCCGCCCTGAGGGTCTCTGTGTCGCCCGGCGTAGGGGCCGGGTCAGAAGCGCTCCCCACTGCCGATCCCTTTGGGGCCGGGGAAGGAGTCGGCGGAGTCCGTGACCCCGACTTCACCACTTCGGCGAGCTGGCGAATCTGCTCCTGGAGCTGCCGGATCTGGCCTTGGAGCTCCTTGTTCTGTTTGCGGAGCTCCTTAGCCTCCGCCTCCATCTTTTTTTGGACGGCTGCCACCGAGGAGAATTCGCCGGCCACGGAGGAGTTCGGGTCTAAGGCCTCCGTCAATGCCATGACGGTCCCGATCTCCTCCGTCATCGCCTTCTGGTCGGTCCCCTTCAGGTTGCCGCACCTCTTTACTCTGTTGAGGACTAGCGACAACCTGTGCCTGGCATCCGACGAGAAGGCGGCCACCGAAATCGGATCACTTTTGGGAGCGTTCTTCCCTTTAGAGACCTCCTGCGGACGGACGAACACGACGTCGTCATCCGACGCATCCGCCCGTCGGGACTCCGCCGACGTCGATGGCCCCTTTCCGGCCCGGTCCGCATGGAAGCGGAGCGACACTCCCGCCGGAGTCGGTGGGCAGGGTATCTTAGATGGGCGAATACCTCCGCCCCCCGCCCCAGGGGGCTCGATCCGCCTTCATGTGGCCGCTTGGAAACGGCCGCCTTCACTAGCCCGTCCTCGCTGGACACAAGGCAACCCGACAGCTCGTCCTCCACCAACATCGAACGCGTCGAGCGGGTCGAGCGCGTCGACGAGGCCGATGAAGGACGAGAAGCGCGCGACCTGGCCCGCGAGGCGGGCCGCGACCTCGCCGGTCGATCCTCCATGTCGGGGTCCGCCTCGGTCACTGAGTCCATGGACCAGAACTCAGCGTTCCAAGGGGACGAACTCTCCTCATAACCCCTCCGGGGAACGGGAAGAGGAAGGGCGCGTACCTATCTAAGGTTGCCACACCCACAGCCTGCAACCAACAACGACCACTTCCAACCTAAGTCGGAAGGGTGTTTGGGAGGCGAGCGCCTCCAAAGCCTACTCCGGGGATCCCCCCGGAGCGGACACACCGGTCAGGAGTGTGATCCCCTGCACAGTGCAGCCGCTCCCGGTGAAACACCACACTACCACCTCAGCACAACACAACAATAAAACCTAACCTAAGTAACCGCCCGAAGCAACTCACTTTTAACAACTTCAATGGAGTCTTTGCAGCAGTCAATGGAACAGATGATGGAAAACTTCAACACAAGGATGGCAGCTTTCCAGGATGGTCTTGATAAAGCCGGTGCCTCACCGGTTAGCTTGGCCTCGCTTGCATCTGATTTCTCACGCTTCAAATCCTTAATCGGTGAGACACTTCGAAACCTTCAGCAACAGGTGCGGGTTATTGCACAACAGCAGGATCGCCTTGAAATGAACAGTCGTCGCAAGATACTGTTGTTACATGGGATTTGTGAAAACAGTGACAGTAATTTAACAGTTGTAGTAACCAAGATCTTTGCTGAGAAACTTAAAATATCCATCCCAACAAACAGCATAAGCCGTACTCATCGCATGGGCCGAATAACCAGTGGAAAACCTCGCCCCATTCTGGTCAAATTTCATAGCATAGAGGATAGAAATAAAGTCTGGATGGCGAAAACTGGGCTCAAAAGTAGCGGCATTACAATATCCGAGTTTCTCACTAAAGTAAGACATGAGGCTTTTATGAATGCTCGTAAACACTTCGGCGTATCTAAGTGCTGGTCACACAATGGGGCCGTAATGATCATTGGGGCAAATGGTCAGAAACATCGAGTCTGTTCAGTTGGTGAGGTTAACAGACTTATTAATTTGTCGCCGATTGCTACTAAAAATGTGACGCTTCCAGCAGCTAACCCGCCAGCGACAGCCCTGAAGACATCGGAAACGGCAGGCGTAACACATTCCAAACGCTTTTTGAAGAAGTGATTTGTTTTTGTACGCTGTTCAGTGTTGTATTATTATCGGTGACAATATTATTCGCGTTATTCTGCTACACTCGTAACTTTTCGGTGGGTAGATTCAGTAGGTAAATATGTTTTATTATTATTATTTCTTTTTTATTATAGTCTTACGTTTAAATTTAGAAATATTTTCGAGTTTGCCCGTTTTAATATTACACTTTATATATATCAATCTACTTAAATTGTATGACAGTTGCAATATGCCAGTTTGATAGATCTGACATTTGACGGAGCTGTCATTATACCAATTATCTATGGTAACTTGGGCCAAATCAGGCTTAAATATGCCAAAAGTTCTTAAAATTACTGTAGCAATTGCATTTTTTTGTTTTTCTTTTTCTTTTATATCAATAATAATAATGGGAAGAAAAAAAAATTGTGGGTAGACATACATACAAAAGTCATAAAATTTTTGAGCTCCTCAATTTTAATTAATAAAAAATACAATTTATCTTATGAATTAATTTTTTTCTAACCTGCATTTGGTTGACTTCAGTTACTATCTTTCTAACTAACTTTTCATCACTAACTTTACAATGGACACCACAGCTGAGCAACTTTTAAAAAACATGGATGACTTATCAACCTTGTTCAACACCCGAATGGAAGAGTTTGAGAAGGGCATGCAGCAACAGGCTCCGTCTTCCTCAGGTACTACGGTGAAAGGATTATCCGCCGATTTTGCCTCATTTAAAGCGTTTGTCTGGAAGAGTTTTGGACTTATCAAGACACAGGTGGAGATGCTTCAACAGTCTCAAGACCGTCTGGATACCCATTCCCGAAGGAAGGTCTTACTTTTTCATGGTGTGCCTGAGACTTCTGGCGAAGATACTTCTCAAGTAATCTTGGAGTTGCTCAACGACAAAATGAAATTAGACAGTGTTCGTCCTGATGCCATCGAGTCATGTCATAGATTGGGAGCTAAAAGGGAGGCTGCTCGGCCTGTTCTTGTGCGGTTCACATCTTTACAATCCCGTTCATTGGTTTGGAACGGTAAAACTATATTAAAGGGCTCCAAAACATCCGTTTCCGAGTTCCTAACAAGATCAAGGCAGTATGTCTTTGTTGCGGCTCGTAACCAT